AACAAACAAACAAACAAAAAACAAAAAAAGAAAAGAAAACAATGGGCTTAGAGTGTACTACTAAATATTATGCGTATTATTTTTGCACGGGTTAGATAAGATCCCTCTAGTTGACTTGTTCTCGGATATATGCTATGTACTAAAATGTATATCCACTAAGTTGTTTGTACATATTATACAAAACGAGTTTGCTTTACTGTTGTTGAGAAACGTGCTGAGATGCATATATTATACTAGAGTATGTACTTGTAAATATAAAACAAGTAATCTGAACCAACCAATTTCCCAACTGAATTAAATATCAAAAATATTTGTCCGCAGAAAAAAAACATTTTTCTAACCGAGATTTTAACATTTTACATGCAGATAAAGCATGTCTGCTATCATTGCTTCTATCTTAAAGCATCTTTTATTATAAATTATTTTTTAGGTACGACTATAAGACAGAATAAGTCCATGTTATTTCTTCCCGCAAACGGCAAACATCACATTTATAGACAAATATTCTTTTCTTCAACTATAGTACCACTTGGAGATTTTTGACATTCTGTTTCACTAATTCTAAATTCATTACTTGTCAAGCTAAGTTCATGTTTGCCGTAAAAGAGATGCTTTAACTATTTTTCTTGTCCAATTTGCTGTGCTTTCAATTGATTATTTTCTCTTTGGTTTTACATCCTTGATAAGCTATTTAATGGATTATGGATTATTCTTATGAAAGACCCCCAAAATGTAAAGTAAGAAGCACTGAATGTTAATGCGATGCATGATAGGATAGCTTGGGTCATCCTCTATCATTACACGGCTTTATTTTCCAAGACCGAATTTTTTCTTCTGCAGTCAACATCGCCTTTAATTATTGTGCCTGAAGAGAGCTTTTCCAACCAGCTGCGAAAATGTCAGCCAATCAGAATCGAAAAAAATTTGCAAAACTGCGCTGTCACTTTTTTTCTCGAAATTATTGATTTTCAGGCCACCAAATGAAAAAAATGACGTTCCTAATGAGAGGTTGAAAACAATGACACGATAATTAATGAGATATATATATATATATTTTCGTGACGCCTCAGTTTTGCAGTGACGTCATTTCTACGTCACTATTTTAGATCAGCTGGAAGACATTTAAAAAATATTCTCCGCTTCTTCAGAGAGAACGATGATCTCGTCGTCAGAGCCATTTGTCTGAACATTTAGAGGGACATTATTGGTGAGGGGCTTGGACGAGATATCATGACATGTCCCATCCTCATGAACACTAACAATACTAAGATCATTAATAACTGATGAACAGAGATCATTTCCATTACTAGCACCATTCCTCTGCTCAGGGCCTCGTTCTTCGGTAACCGGGAGAAGTCTGGAAACATCCCGGCCGTGCATTCGTAAGAGTAGCGGGTCTGGTTTCTCTATATCCGGGGTCATCACTGCCACGTTTCTTCCAGTTACTATTGCCCGGACCTCCTCGGGCAGCTCTGGATGAGCCAGAAGTTGAAGACAAAGAGTCTCGGCTCCAATGAGCGTTTCATTGACGTCAATTTGGTAAGCGAGTTCATTGATATACTAAAAAATACAACAACCGCAGCTTTGAAGCGTAGAGTTACTATATCAAGATAATTGCTTGATTTCAGGCCGATAGGGGCTGGGGCCTAGCACTTTTTCCGAAGGGAAGTCATATTGCGCGAGTCACTTGATTGTTAATATATGCTCAAGAACACTAGTGTATATACTTGTTTTGAAAGAAAATGAGTGTTATTCACGGGAAAGAAGAAAGAGATTTAAATAGATTCAGCATTCAGATCACAAGAAGACGATTCCGTAGGAATTTTGAGGGAAAATTGGAGCCCAGATTGAAATTGCTCCAAGTTTCAGAGCAAAGGAAGATTGAAATGAGTTATTCCTTTTATGCGCAAGTTGTTTTCACAAACAACACTCACGCAGTTTCAATTCCAGACCTATATTATTGTTACTAAGTTTTTCTAAAACACCCGCCATTCTCGGCTTGCAGGTAACTATTAGGTAACTATAAATACATTGAGACACTATGGGTCAACCAGTGACAAAATGAATCCCTTACCTCCCCTCCCTGCGAACACAGTGCGACAGAAACAAGTGAATTATAACGTACCTTAAGGATTTCATTAAAACCGAAGTTCATTTCCATGATGAGTTGCCTGTGTTTGTCCAAGATAGCCAGACAAATTATCAGATGAAAGTTTGGCGACAGATTCTGAGTCCACATGGCCTGGGGAGATAGAAACGAATTATAAATGTCTGATGACTTTGAGATCAAACCTCGTGCCGTGACCCTTTACTCGTTATATTTTTTGTGCTAATATCCTGGCTACTCATGTGCTATGGTGCTCCATATGTGCGCAGTGTAATTAGTGTAACTTAGATCAGACCAGAGGTTGTTTCAGGGTTGGATATGTGAGTTAGCCATGCCCTGACTTAGATCAGCTCAGAGGTTGTTTCAGGGTTTAGTCTGTGAGTTAGCTATGCCCTGACTTAGATCAACACAGAGGTTGTTTCAGGGTTTGATCTGTGAGTTAGCCATGCCTTGACTTAGATCAGCCCAGAGGTTGTTCCAGGGTTCAAGAAAGCTACAGCGAAAGCAAGGAAGGTCAAGATAATTTCAATTTCAATATGCTTTATTGATCGTCAGACTCACCTCCCATAGTGTCATGATATCATCATATTGAAACTCTCTTTTAAAGTTGATAATCAGCCAACGGAAACAGAAATAAAGGTTGCCAGAATCATGTTGCTCTGAACAAAAATACGAAGCAAATTATTAAAAGAAAAAATGGATGGATGGATGGAGGGAGGGAGGGATGGATGGATGGATGGATGGATGAAAAGAAGGTTGGTGATTACCTTTTCACAGGAACAACTCACCTAGATAACTGTAGAACAAAGGATCAACAAACTTCAATAGTACAGCGAGCTGGTGAAGCTGCATCTTCATTCCTTCCTGATTCTCGTCAAAGTTGTGAGCCTAAAGTATCAACAGACAAAGTTTTCAATAGAGAAGCGACAACAGAGTATTGTAAAAGATTGATTGGATTGAATGAGGTGTAATATCACGCCTTGTGATTGGTTCAATAGGACCAGAATCTCTTGTACACTTTCTTTTGTTCAGTTAATTAGCAGCAATTGTCTTACTATTCTCATGAGGAAATGCTAATTTAAGAAAAATTGAAAATTCGCCAAGCATTATGGTAGTGGGAGTCAAATGACGCCATCATGCAAACGTCCTATTCCGTACCATGTAATGTATTCTGTAATATACAGTAATTCACGTACCACTTTCTTCATCAATCCAACGAAGCACCAGAAAGCATCCACTTCATTATCCATGATAAACAAAACTGGTGATAACAGATCACTCATTCCCTGCACGTAACCTAGGAAACGGGTTATATATTTCATTATAAACTGCACGTAACCTTGGTAACTCTTTATATATTTAATAACTTATTATAGGCAATCAAGACAATAACATCATCTGTAAGATATTCATTATTCGTTGTTATCGCTGAATTATATACATTGTACTGTATAGCTCTATATACTCCCCAAAGGCGATAGGCAATAGGTGAAAAGTGATAGACAAAAAGCGATAGGAGATAGGTCATTCCAAGAATAGCTGGAATGACTTGTGTTTCTGCTTCTTATTCTCGTCAAGAACACGGACCTTAGTGTTGAGACTGATTCAGTGTTATTTGTCACGGTAAAGCACATGTACTGTGTTACATAACAACATTTGTATACCAGAGAAACGTGTTTCCTTAAATCTGATTGGCTGAAAGCTTAAGAAAGCCTATATTTTACAACCCTCAAGATTTCATGCCACCCATGTAAGCTATGCCATCCATGTCGCTCATGTCACCTTTGCTCCCCAAGCCCCCCATGCTATCCATGCTACCCAGCCACCCATTGCTACCCAAATGCCACCCATAAAAACCATGTCATCCACGTCGCCCATGCCAACCCTGACCCCCATGCTACCTAATCTACCCAATCAACCCATGCCATCGGTTGCCACCCAATCCACCTGGCATGCGACACTACTCACCCAAATCAAAGTTATACATGCAGTATGTCATTAGGACATTATTCAATGTTGTAATGTTTTTGTTGTTAGGTTCCTCGATGTAGTACGGATGAGTACGATCTGTCCGCATTACATCTTTCTCTAAAAATATAAAACAATTTAAACTGAAGATTAGTCAATTGAACCCTGAAACAACCTCTGGGCTGATCTAAGTCAGGGCATGGCTAACTCACAGATCAAACCCTGAAACAACCTCTTGGCTGATCAATGTCAGGGCATGGCTAACTCACAGATTGAACTCTGAAACAACCTCTGGGCTGATCTAAGTCAAGGCATGGCTAACTCACAGATTGAACTCTGAAACAACCTCTGGGCTGATCTAAGTCAGGGCATGGCTAACTCACAGATCAAACCCTGGAACAACCTCTGGTCTGATCTAAGTCAGGGCATGGCTAACTCACAGATAGAACCCTAAAACAACCTCTGGGCTAATCCATGTCAGGGCAGGGCTAATGTTAAGTCTATAGATCCATTTTCTATCGTATGAGTCTCTACACACTTACCAACAAGTTGTTTTCTTTCACGGTATTCTGAGAAATGTTTCTCTTGCTTGGCTGATATAGTTTGCCATTGTGTTTTCATAGTTCTGTACTCCTCTCTAAAATAAGAAAGAAAATGAACAACTGTGAACATTTCCCTTTTTTCACCTTCTCCCTTCTCCTTGGGGCGGGAAATATGAGTGGGAAACATACGATGCTGATTTACGGCATGTTACACAGTATGACATGCCTTAAAATTGAAATGACTTTCATTCCTAAACCCTGGAAAAAACTTTGCAACTTTCCAAAAACAACCTACAGTACTGCTACAAATTTACCATATGGTTCCCCACTCATATGAAAACTGCACTATCAGCAGTCAGTCCCCAGAGAAGGAAAAGTAAAGTAGCTATTCTACCTAAGGACAGGTATATTAGTGTACTTACTCTTTAGCTTTGTTCAGAGCAAATCTTGACTGGAACGTGCATCCATACTTGTAATAACCTAACAAATACTTCCAGACTTCTCTCCTTAAACCTTTATCAATTCCCTGGGTAAGTGAAAACATGTAATTAAGAAATATATGTATATATATTTTAAAGGGAACAAAGGGAAAGAAAACTCCCCTTTCGAGGTCCTAGCAATGGACCTGTCAAGTCACTTACCCCTTTGAATACTTTATCATGCAGCTTTTTTATGTTGATAACTCGGCCATTACTGTCCAGCATTGACTTCCAACCTTCTTCCCTCAGAGGCTCTTCTCGGCTGACCATAGGAACTTCTCCAAGGCAACGCTATAAACATGATTATAAATGTATTATACTTTGATACTGTCAGGCTATTAGACGTCTTTCCCATTTCAGTTATTCCCTTGAGTATCATTTCTTTTGTTTAACTGTTGTACGTGAGAAGACATGTGAATATGGATACAAMTCAAACAAAGAATCTTATTCTCAAGAGAATGACACGTGGTCTGAAAAAGGAGAACAATACTCCAAAGACCTACTGTAAAGAGGACTCAATAAATCTTGAATCTTCAAGGCAATTACATTTCTAACGGTCAAGTTAGCAAATGAGCAGTTGCGTCAAAATCAACACCTCACCAATAATTATTGTTAAAAATCAGCCATTGTTCAGATGAAATCCTATCAAGTGTGACCTACCCGATGTGGAATGTTCCTCTCAGAAAGAGAAGTTGCTTCTCCCAGATCCTCAAATTCTGCATCTTTCCTTGGTGAAGTTGTACTGATCACCAAAGGATCATCCATCTCTGCAAGGTTTGGCCCTGATTGCATTACATCCATGGTATCTCGGAAGTATTTTGTGACCTTGGAGAGTGCATCCATACCATCGTAATAGGCAGCATTAAAAAAATGCTGTAACAGATGAATAACAAATTAGGTGCTGGTAAAACAGGGAAATCCACTAGAGTGGTTTTGGGCCATGTCATGAAACTGATGACATCCTTTGAATTTTTTAAGTAAAAAAAAAAAAAAAGAAGAAGACAACAGAATTAAGGTAACTAGGAATCATGCAATTAAGGCATGTCTTTACCATGGGTTTACTCTGTAGATAGAGTACTTACAGATATATATGATGTTTGTGGGGCTCCCTCAGGAAATAACTGTAACTGGGTTAAAGACATTCGTAATGCTTTCTGTTCATCATCCACTAAAAACAGCTTATGGTTTGTAGCTGACCTGAAAGAAAAGATGACAAAATTTAGCACCATGCATCATCAATGTATTCATGCTGACATAAGGTGTGATGTGGCATCAGTATCCACAATAGCATAAGAAGAAAAAGATGTCCACTCATTGTTAATAGATTTATGCTTAAAGATAGTTTTTACTTGAGAAAAAAGCTAAATGCCAAGAGTATAGCTACAAGCATTTTTACGCTGTGTTTTTGAAACATCCCTTCTTATTCACTCACTTTTATTATTCAACATACCAATGCACTCCCAACTTAGTAGTAATGAGATATAAAGATTATACTTTGTTGGACAATCAAGAGAGAGCTAGTCTCCAAACTGTGTAAGTGAAAGCCCAAAAATCAAAGTGGAATCTAGAGGTAGATCTTTAAGAAAAACTGGAAAATCCATAGAAAACCTACTCAAGCTATACTCAAGCATGTGTACCTTGTTATCCAGATATATCTTTGCAAGTTTCTGATAAGATTCATTATTCCGCCTGAATGAAAGTGTAACGCCGGTAATGTATTTGAATCCTTTAAGATAAATACAATATACGACCATGCCAGTCTTGGATCTGAGCGTCGTATGGAATGAAGTTTCTTGATATCAAAGTGAATGGCATATTTGGATTTCTCTTTCTTCTTCGGACTATTCTTCTCATCTTAGACAAACACAAAAAATACATAATCTTGTGAGTACAAACCCCTATAGAACTTTCTCTTTTGTCATTGTCATTCATATTCAAAACAAGAGCAATTGTAATACTCCCATTTCGAGTTTGCCTTTGCTCAGTCTTAGCCTCGATTATGTACAAATGTGTTCTTTTCTTTCATTAAGGTCCATTGTATAGTAAGGAATGTACGCACTAAGGAACAATATGAATTGATTAAAATGCCACGGGTTTTGGTTGAATAGCTGAATATTATAACACACAACTGAGACTAAGGTTTGAGCAAAGAGAACTCAAAACTGGAGTACTTGTGTTTGATAAAAGAAAGAGAAAAACTGGTCTAGTGAGATTTGCACAATAATTAAATAGTACCTTGGGATTGATATCAAACTTAGTAGGTGCAGAGGTAGGTCCAAAATTTTTTTAGGGAGGGGTGCACACCAAGGTTTTTTTAGGGGGTGCCCCATTTATGTTCAGGACTTGTGCATCAAAAGGGGATAATAATGAAGTCATACACTTCTCTCCTGTTCTGCAGACCCCTGCATGTAAACACTTTTATCTCCTTTTTGTTCATTAGCGCCAATATAGGGAAAGAGATATTATATAGTGAGATTATTTTATAATGTATTGTAAACCTTTTTGCTTGTTCTGGGTAACCAGATTCCATTCAGAATAATCGCTACTTTGCAGTTCATAATCATCATCTCCGAAATCACAGGGTGACCAATCAACAAATGTACTGTTGTCCTGAGAAATAATTAATATAAGTTACTATATCTATGCAACTCTATGAATGGGGAACTGATTTTTGAAGGGGTGGGGGGAGTCTGCATTGATTATGGAATGCAATTTCCAAAGGGTAGAGAGGGACTGCATTAAACGACTGTTGGGGGAGGGGAAAGAAGCCATATTTGGATTAAGATATATTATGGATGTATTAAATAACAGATCGAAATATTAACTAACATCAAACATAAGCTTATAATGAGCTGACATATATAATCTTATAAAGTTAAGCTAATAAGTTTATGGATGCTTGCTCAAAGGATCAACAAGAGATATTATTAAAATAGTTAATAACTAGTTTGTTAGCACAGGTTTCGCAGAAAATAAGTTATTAATATTTGCAAACCTTTTCTATCAGGCTGACTCGTCCAGGGATGATATTAGCGCTGTGTGTCGTAGTAGGGACAGCAGTATGAACAAACACACCATCTTGACTGTACACGACCTAGAACAAAAATAAACCTTTAAATCCTTGTACAGCGAGTATTTTTTTAACTTTTCTAAGAAATAGCTAAATTAAATAATATTTCTTTTTGCTCAAGGGTTTATAATTTCACAAATAAGCAATGATATTATTCAATTTTTAAAAGAGAATCACCTTTTCTTTCGTTTCTGTTTTGGCCTGCGATGCGGCGGCCATCTTGTTTTCAGATGTTTTGCGTTACGTCATGTATTTATAAAAAAGGCCTGGATCCTATGACGTCACTCGAACATGACGTCGACTGCTATTTTAAACATTATCTTAAAGTAATCATAAATTCAAAATTTCGCAATCTAACACGTTATGTTGAAGACTGTAATGCGTTTAGAAATGAGTTAATTGCTCAACTATTTTCAATAAACGTTTTCTTTACAAAAGATACCACAGAAACCAGCCATTCGATATACATTGTAAGAAGAGTTTACCAATTTTGTATGAGGCTTACACAAATGCATAGGTAGCCCAAGCTTGGTTTCTGTGGTGTTATGCTATTAGGAAATGTATAGGGATTCATCAAAAATTTCAATAAAATCATTGAAACGTAAAATAAAGCCTCGAAATTTTACCCGATCATTGAGAAATAGCACTTCGTTTGGTCTGTTTGGTTATTTTTTGAATTTAGCCCGTCTTAAGATTTTTTTTTACTGGTCAGGAAAAAAAATCCCACAGAAGGCAAGCTTGGGCTACCTGTGATAAATGACGGGGAAAAAATTATAATATAAAATGAAAATACAAAGCTTTTAATTTTCAAAATAATAATTAGAGATTATCATTTAAGGTGACTGCCTACTTTTGGAAATTGATTTAAACTTTTTTTAAAACTTCGATTTTCCGAATTAAAATTTAATGCTGATTCCAAATCTGGAAAGAAAAATAGGGTGTCCCGAGCTCGTTTTCGAGATAATCAGCTTTTAATGGAAGCCTACGCACGAGCTTTTAGAGTAAAAATTGCGCCAAAGGAAGTGATTAGAAAAAAATTAAGATTCATGAGATAATAGCTATTTTAGTCAGGTCTCTTATGGTCTTGATCGTTACAGAGCTTACAAAAGCACCAAACTTGGCATAGTTGTAGCTTATGGTAGTACTATCAATGTTAGAGGGGGAGCCCAACGTAAATTGTCCTTTAAGGGAAATTACGGAGGATTTACTTTTTCAAATTTCACGAATTGGGCTCCCTGTGCTTCTTTTTTAAAATATATTCATTAAATATGTAAAATCGTTTTGAATAAATTTTACATGCTATTTACCCATTGGAATGCATTATCTGTCATGGCTATCGATTACAACCCCAAATCTTAACAAAAAAGCTACTTTTCGGCATCTCTTTCAAACACTAGTGGCCAGTC